ATAAAGATGGAACAGATGTGTTTTTAATGCATTGTGTTGCCTTCTTGAGCGTCAGTAAATGTTCCACCTTTTCCTAGAATTACATTCCATTGTATTCGGGACAAACAGCACTCGTGTAATATTACTCTCACTGCTTGTGTGATATCACTTATCATGTGATATAAATACGAGATAAAAACTCATACAGAAGCATTTTATTGCCCCAATATCTCCATGAGCTCTTGCGTGTTTGTCAGATGAAGGCAGGTGAGCGTCGGCTCCTCAAGCGTCTTGTAGATGGCAGACTGATGCTTCTGGAGATTTAGTTTGTTTTTAAAGCTTTGAGTAAATGCTTTGTTTTATTCAGAAAGATGGAATGCTGTTACTCCCTCACGATTAGAGCGGCCTCTCAGTCCGATGGCGTGTTTATGGCGTGTTGCGGGGGTCTCGGGCTGAATGTGGACTCTGAGCCGCTGTATTGTGGGCATGTGGCTGGTGTTTACCCATCATGCCCTCTCGGCTGAACACAGGTATCTCTGTGTAGTGGATGTGAGTGAACGCCCAGGGCTCAGATTCCTGGTCTGCTCGGTCCGTTCACGGGTCAGAGGAGAGGAGTTCATCAGCAGAGCATCTCCTCAATTAAAGCTCATGGCTCTGATTGATTCCAGACGGCCGGATTAGAGCAGAGAGAGCAGAAGGACAGGTCTCTTGCAGCATATGGCCTTAATTTCTCTGAGAAACCTGCCGTCTCTCCTTCAGATTAGTGCTGTCAAACGATTAATCGTGATTAAATCGCATCCAAAATAAAAGTTTTTGTTTACATAATATGTGTGTGTGCTGTTTATTTTTATGCATGTGTGTGTATTTATAAATGCATAATAAATATACACAGTACACACACATATATTATGTAAACAAAAACTTATATTCTGGATTAATCGCGATTAATCGTTTGACAGCACTACTTCAGATGCTGCAGAGCTCTCAGAACGTGCTATTTTTGACTTTGATTTTAATGTTTTAAAATTTTGATATAGCTTTTTTTAAATTATTATCTGCAGTTCCTTGCGAAAGTATTCATACCCCTTCATTTTTTTCACATTTTGTTAAGTTGCTGCATTATGCTACACTGCTTTAAATTACTTTTTCCCCACATCAATCTACACTCCATACACCATAATGGTAAAGCAAAAAACAGGTTTTTAACATCTTTGCAAATTTATTACAAATAAAAAAACTCATACCCTTATCTGGGACGGTTGAAATTTAGCTCAGGAGCATTCAAATTGCTTGTAGATGTTACTACACTTCGAGTGAAGTTAACCTGTGGCAAATTCAATTGAATGGGTATGATTTGGAAAGGCACACACATCTTCATAAAAGGTCTAACAGCTGATAATGCATATCAATGCCAACACCAAGCCCTCAGGT